TTTGAGGTGTGATACTTCTTGATAGCTTTCACTACCCTCATTGTAAATGGAGGGGCTGTGTAGACAGATAGGTCAGTTGGGGACTCTGATCTGTGACATATTCTCACCAGGGAATGCCAGCTTTGGTTACTGTCAGTCAGTATCCAGAATGTTTAGAGTGTGTCATGGTGAGAATACCTTTGCCTCAAAAGCTTGAAACATTTGGTACTGCTCATTTACAATGCCTTTATTTTTCAGGTAAATACAGCAGTCCAGTTAATTTTGGTGGCAGCTTCTTTGGCAGCTCCAGTTTTCAATTATGCTGACAGCATTTATCTTCAGATACTATGGTAAGTTAAATTTAGAATTACTCGGAGAATATCAGTACACTGGCTTATTGTGATAATCCTAGAATGACTTTGATCTTGAAGTGTTTAATGAACATTAGGTAGACAAAGCTATGGCCACCCATCTTTCCTTCCACTACTTTTCCTGATTTTATTTGACTTTTTAAAAACAACTGATTGAGACCACTTAATGCATCTTGTGTGTGCATGGGTATAATACCCTCTACTAAAGCATATAGTCTCTAAGGAGCCATATCCCTGAAGAAAATCAATTCTTCCTTACCCCCAGCCATCAGTTCCCAATAGCTCCCCAGAAAAGAATTTCATGAGTCCCCAACAGTATCTATGCAGAGATTTTAGCTTGCTTGTACAGGTCTTGTGCTTGCCTGCAGTCATAGCCACTGTAAGTTCATGTGCACAATGTCTTCATCACGTTGAAGAAATACTGGTTTTTTGCAAGTACCCACTACCTCTGGCTCTTACAATTTCCCCTGCTTTTTGTATGATGATCCCTGATCCTTGGGGAATGGGAGTGTGATATAGCTCTTCTATTTGCAGCTGGGCACTCCATAGTCTCTTATAAGCAACAGTTTAGCCAGTGTGAACCCTGAGAGCCACATAGCAAGTAGCAAGATGTCCCCAGGTGTGCAGTAGTGGCACAGATGTTATGGGAGTAACTAGCCACTTTCATGTTGGATTTAAGACCTACTCCACAAGATGGAACTAAAGCCTGGTTCCATTATCAGGGCCCAAACCAGTGGTTGGCTAAGTTACAGGCCTTTGGAGAGAACTTCATACTATCATTCTACTAAATGGGCATAGTAATGAGTACTCCCCTATGTTCCTGTTGTTAGTTCCATGTTAGTGCATCTCCCAACCCTCATCAGAGAAGCCTCTTTTTACAATAGATGGTGATTAACATCTAGCCATTGCGCACTATCATCCTTGGGCATGGAGCATAGACGTTAGCAGTCACAGCTGGGAGCAATGAGAAAGATTGCCAATGTGTTAAGAGTTTTGGAGGAAAAGAAAGTAAGAAGAGGAATAACTGCAGGAAGGAAGTGGCATTTGAGCTGTAAGAATAGGTGAGCTGTCTCCTCAACAGACATTTTGGACAGTGGTGTTGAGGATCCAGCCTTGTAGAGGGGTGCAGTGGGAGAACACCCATTCAAAGCATTTTGAATCTTATCTTAGTATGTAATTACTCATTTGTAAATGTCTTGAAATGTGTCAACAGTCAGACTTTTAAGCATTCTAATCAGGTTGCCATGTTGATTTTTAACTATTTTGGTAAACTTTTAATTATACTTAAAACTTGCTTTAGCACTCTGAACAAAGGTGGTTGATTAATCAAAGTAAGTTATGCTAAAGACTTTTAAAAATGATACAGTCTAAACTTTATTTTCTTACATAAAATGAAAATTTTTTTCCGTTGTGTTTTTGTTTATCAATGGAGTTTCTCTCTCTCAAATAAGCTGTGTCAGTAGATAGCCTGTCTCTCCTGTTTTTGATTAAAGGTAATGCATGACTTTAGATATGCACCAAGCAGTCCAAGTTGGAGTGGTCTAGATTTGAGCCAACTTCCTCCAGTCTTTTCACAGTTGTCTCCATTTCTGTCTGTGTTAATGTTGTTGTTTTTGTGGAAGAAAAATGAGAACATACAGCACCTAGGGTTGTGTGTGGGAAAGGGCAGTGCTAGTACTGCTGATCTTTAGGCCTTGATAATTAGATGGCTTTTATTTGGATCACCAATTCAGTTGATATCTTAAAGGAAGAGGAGGCCAGGGATTTAGGTTTGTAGTCAGACAGTTCCATCACAGTCGTGTTTTCTTAGTCCGTCTTTTACAGATGTACTTCATGATCTCTGCTGTCAATGTCCTCAGATTTGACAGCTGGGTCCCGTCTCTCCTTCCAGGTGTGGCACGGCATTTACTACAGCTGCCTCAGCATACAGTTACTATCACTATGGTCGGAAAACTGTTCAGGTGATAAAGGGTAAATGAGAGGCACCCGGATCCAGCAGCAAGGAAGCCACTTGCATCATCGGCAGCAGCGCCAGTGAAAGCTACAGGACGTTCCCAATCTTGGTGTTCAGCTTGCGAAAGGACTTGTCAGACAAACCATGTCTTAAAAACGGAAGTAGTGTATGGCGAAAATAAGCTCGATCATGGGCCTATGCAGAATTTCCAGTGTATTTTTAAATACAAATAAAACTATAATGTGGGATTTTTAATCTTAAGTTCTTGATTAATTTGTGAGATGATTTATTCTAGTTATTGTCTTTTTAATGTTATATGTAAAACAAAACAAAAACAAAGGAAAGCAGGAGAGAGTTTCCTGAGATTAGGTATATACCCTACATAGAATGGCTTCACATCTTTATGTTTGAATTTAAATCTGTAGACACATTAACAGTTCATGTGACTTATACTTGATTGTTTGAAAACATGAGAATAAAATTAGTTGTGGGTAGTATAAGGTGTTTAGAGCTTTAAAATGCAGTAAGTTTTGGAAATAAAAAGATCAAACAAAACAGAAGGTACTGAAATTCACCAGTAGTCTTCCCGCCTCTCAGGACCAGATAGTTTTTGTATCAGGATATCAGGTAACACAGGAGTCAAAAAAAAAAAAAAAAAAAGGCAGAGAATTACATCTGTGCCTTTCCACTGTTTCTAATGTGATGCTTTTATGGTATTGAAGCCTGTACTTGTGTCATGTAAATAATACGAAACTATATTTTTTCAAAGCTCTTTTTTTTTTTAAACTTGGGGAATCTTCCATTGTTAACATGATAAAAGAATAAAAGACATTGGGGAAAACAAGTCTTCCACGTGGCTTGTTCCGTGGTGTGTCTTTGTGCAGCTGCCCAGTTTTCCCGATGTTTGAAGTGCACTTAGATGCAGCACATGTCCTTACATTGTAAAAATGACTGGTTCAGGACCATTCTGGTCTTAAAGACCTGCTGTACCCTTGTATTCAGGGTAGTGGGGTACAGGTAGGGTCGGAGGCTGGGGGGTCTTCCACATTCTAGAGGCCTTTTGTTGCCCTTTCTCCTCAGCTCTAACCTGAGTATAATGTGGAACTGTGTAGTAAGACTCTGAAGTCAGTGTGTTGACCTGTTAAAATGGAGATTGAAAACTCTAGCTTTCTTGCATTGTGCAATCCTCTGTTGCTGGTCTGGGCTTCTGTCACCCAGATCACCAGCTTAACCACTGTGCTGACTTGGATAAGAATGTCTCCTAGTCTCAGGTATTTGAGTATTTGGTCCCCAGTGAGAGGCACCATTGGGGGAAGTTGGGGAAGAATTATGTCACTGGGGACAGGCTCTGAGGTTTCAAAGCCACATGCTGTTGCCAGTTCTTGCTCTGCTTTTGCTTGTAGCTCAGGATTTGACCTCTCAGCTCTTACCTCCAATTACCTGCCTCCCTGCTGTCAGCTTCTTACCGTGACAGATTCTTACCCCTCTGGAACAACAAGCTAAATAAACCTTTCCTATGTGAGCTGCCTTGGTCCTGGTGTTTTGTCACAGCAATAGGAAAGTAACTGACGCAGCCCCTGGGCTTGGCCCATACTAACTAAACCCTACCACTGAATCACAGGAGCGAGAGAAAAGGATGGGGCAAGGCCGGCCATTGCCTCTCCCTCTCCCAGACAGCTTTCTAACTGGGAGCTGCTAAGGCTGGAGACAGGACTGCCGGAGCATGCAGAACCCTGAGCCCACAGGAATGTCAAAAAGATTGCAAAGTGCTGATGGGGGAAATTAGATGTTTACTCTGCTTTATTATGTTTGCTTATTGTGGTTGTTGATCCGTAGTATATCGTTAGAATGGTTTTTGATGTTCAGGATTTTTTTTATATTGAATTGTTACAAAATACATTCTGTCATTAAATGTTCTAAAATTGTATTTAAATGAGAATATTAGAGTATACATTTGTGCATGTAGATTGGCAAATTTATTTCAGTGTCTCCACATAATAGATTCATCCTTGAGAGTAGGCTAATGATGCTGGGGCCATTTAGTTGTGTGTCTTAGGACTTAGTACTAATTCACATTTTTGGCTTTTGTAGCTTTTAAAGCAGGATCTAGGGGAGGTCTTTCAAATGCTTAGTCCAGTTCTCTTGAGCATACATTTGATGAAACTAGGGATACAGTTTAGAATGTTGGAAACATGCTTGAATACTTAGCCACTTAGAAGTGTGGAGTACGAGTCATGTGTAGGTCACCTTGGCTATGCTTGCTGTTTGCAGCATGCTGTTTGGGTTGCAGCCTGTTCTGGAGATGACAGATGTGTTCAAACAACTTTTTTTTTCAGTAGAAATAAGCACTGTTGTGAGTTCGATTTTGCCTCCTCTCCAGAAGCTTATAATCCCCGTATTTGGAGGGACAGGCAGAAGGATCCCAAGTTTGAGGCCAGCTGGGCTACACAGTAAGGCCTGTCTAAGCAGTGAACTTCACACTACTTGTGTCTGCTAAGTCTTGGGTGACATGCAGGAAGCCCTAGAAGCAAAGAGCCTTTTCCTGTGTCTCCCAAATATTACCAGAAGGCCAATTTAACTGTAAAGCATGTTTTGACACACTCTGAAATACAAGTAATACATCCAGAAAACCTCAGGAAACCAATAGCTCTTCCGCTGGCCAACAGAACTCACTGTGCCAAAATCAGGGTCCATCAAAGAAACTTAGGGATAGCATTTCCTAAGGAAGTTGTGTTCCTTGTTACAGTTTCTTTGTCTTATCCCATCTCCTTCCATGCAGTAGCCCATGGGGTACTGAGGGAGACACTGCTGAAAAACCCCAAGGAGACTACACAGCATGACAGGTGCCAGGCTGTTGCCCATGAGGTTAGTGAGAACAGTTTTAGAGGAAGGGTGGCACTCGTTAGAAGGAAGCAGTGTAGAGTTCTGTGTGTGCCTGAGGCATGCTGGCTTCAGGGACTTTGGAGCTCAGGTTGTCTTCAGGTACTCGATCATTTCGCATGCAGATGTGGTTTGACTAGAAGAAAGAAGCTGCGATAATTGAGGGTTTGGAGGCTCATCAGGTGGTCAAAGTCTGGTTTGTTTAATTTGGTTGCAAGAGATAAACCCCAAGGCCTTACATGTGTCTGATTTGGATGTTAGGGATAAACCCAAGGCCTTGTACATTCTAGGAAGCCACTACCACCGAGCTACTTCCTCAGCCCTGGCTGGGTTTTTGAAGGCCACCAGGTTTGTGTCATAGAACTGCCTGTTTGGCTTCCAGCACCGCCTCCAGAGACACACAGATAGCACCATGGTGCTAACCAGTAACACGCCACTGGCAGTACACAGTCCCCAGAAGACGACCACGGAGCTGGGCTTGGTTGTGAAGGCGGCACACGACCTCTTCCAGCCTGAGGTCTGCGGCTGGCTCAGGCCAGCCCCGTTGGCTGCCAGCACACACACATGGTACGTGGTGCCCGGTGACAGCTTGTAGAGGGGATGCTGTCGGGCGGTAGCATAGATGCCTACCACTGACTGGTTGCTAGACCCTCCTTCTGCCAGGTAGTAGATCTGATACCAGAGCACCACTGAGTTGGGGGCACACCAGTGGATGAGCACCGATGTGTCAGTCATTTCCGACACCCCCTGCAGCCTGGGAGGGTCTGGGATGGTATCCTCCCTACTAAGACCAGGGCAGCGGCATCTGAAGCGCTTCTGCAGCTCGGCACACGGGGTCTGCAGATGCCTGCAGGGGTGGTAATCACAGGAGACATCCTGGTCAGGTGCTGCCTCCTGGTCCCGGGCCTCATCCTCCTCGCTGTCGTCCAATAGCAAGACTGGGATCTCGTCTTGTGGAGTTTCCGAGGGGAGAGCCTTGGGGCTGGCTTGTGTCCTCTGGTTGGTCTGAGATACGCCTCTGGGGTTCAGTGAAGTAGCCAAGGGTCCAAGATACTTGCTGACCAGTGGCGTAGAGGCAGATGAGATACTGGGCTCAAGTGTATGTGTGGCGGTCTGCTCTGCCCCTGTGCTGACAGCATCAGGCAGAGCCCTGGGGGGACTGTGGACTGCCACAGGGTCAGTAGTGGACTGGGCAGTTTCCTCTGAAGTATCTCTATGCAGCCACGATCCTTGTGTGAGTGAAGCCATGGTGAGGGAGGGGACCTTGGCGATATTTTGTTGGCTTCCTCCAGACTGAGTAGACAGGGCCATGCTCTGTCCAGTGGAAGGCCCCTGTGTCCATGCTGTGGAGACTGAGTGATGAAAGCGCAGTGGGGTTGAAGCCAGGGGGCTGGTGCTTTGATCTGACCTGCACACACTGGACAGCTGGGAGAGGGAGAGAGGGCCTGAGAAGGGGCCTTGGGATCCTGAGGCAGGCTCACAAAAGGTTTCTGCTGCCCTGGAAGGGAGATCAACCATTAGGAGATAACCTGGGGTTCGGGGTTTTCAATCCTCGAAGTGGGGTTTCCTCTGCCAGCACACCTCTACCAGGTACCGCCTAGTAACATCGCTTTGTTGGCCCAGGAGACCTTTGAAAGAAGCTCCTGCCATCCATCCTCCTATGCAGGGAAGGAGACAGGACGCAGGGGCTTTGCGCAGAAGGCTATAGCCAGCAGTGTCCGAGCGAAGTGTTATCCCATACGGTGTAACAGTCACATCCACAACACGAGGGGAGTGAAGCCAGGCATTCTGGCTTTTAGCCTGTGCTCTCAACGTCTTTTTTAACATAGTGAGACCTTGGCTGACAAGGGTTTTGGGGCTATCCCTTGCAAACAAAGTGGGGAGTGGATGTGAAGAGCCCCACCCCACACTGGACTTTTGAAGATGGGTGACTCCCCCAAAGGAGTAATTAGCTGGTGGAGGTGGTCATGACTGGTGGTATCCCTGGATCCTTAGCACTCATCTTCTGATGCCAGCTTGGGTACAGTTCCCCTGGTGTGTCTTAGCTAAAACCCCTCTAAGCAAAAGAGACCATCAAAATTTGTTTCCTGCCAGACGAAAGCTCTGTAAGCATGCTGACCTTGGGCTGAATGGCCAAGAGTGGGAAGCTAGGCTGTCTCTTGGGTGGACAGTGAGCCGAGTGGTTAAGAGCACAGATATAGATGAAGGTGGATACTGCCTCCTTCACCCAACAGCTACATGAATTTATCAAGCACCTCGCTTGTTTTGGCTCTATTCCCTTGTCTGTAAAATGGGGAAATGGCACAACTTGTCTTCCTTTGCCCACAGGGCGTGCAGACTGTGGTCCCCAGGCTCTTTTGCAATTAGATGTGGCCTATCCACAAATTGTTGGCCAATAAATGAGTAGACATGGTGAGCACCACCTGGCAGCCTGGTCTAGTTTTTCCATTTTTTCTTTGCCCTTTCTGACTGTATGGACTAGAAGCAGAGCCTCCATCTCCCACCCCTGTGTGACTATACTGGGCGAGTGACCACATCACCAGATGGGCAAGACACAAACTGGGGCAGCTCCAGCCCAGGAAGGTTGGTCCTCACCTCACAGACATCTGCTTGGTAAAGTTCGTGTTACCTGTGTAAGACAGTTTTGTTTGCGTCCTCAAGAAGCCAAGCCAGCTCACAGCTGCAAGTGAGAGGGTTGCCAAAGAGGCTGACAGACAAGACCTGGGAGGAATTCACAGTCCAAGGACCAAAGGAACTCAAGTTGCAGCTGAAATGACACATACATGTGCACAGAAGTCAGTTAAGTCATGCTTTTAGGTTCAGTTTCAACAATTAAGTTCACAATGTTCCCACGAGGGCTGGAGAGGTGGCCCAGTCGGTAAGAGCACTGGCTGCTTTTCTAGAGGACCTGGGTTCAGCTCTCAGCACTCACAGGGTGGTTCACAACCATCTGTAACTCCGGCTTCAGAGAAGCTCACATCTTCTGGCGTCCGTGGTGCACAGACATACTTACAGGCAAAGCAAGCATACATATAAAATAAAAACAAATAATTAAATCTTTAAACAGTATCTATTTATGTATTTTATGTATACAAGTGCTCTATTTGCATGTATGCCTTCCTGACAGAAGAGGGCATCAGACCCTATTATAGATGGTTGTGAGCCATCATGAGGTTGCTGGGAATTGAACTCAGGACCTCTGGAAGAGCAGCCAGTGCTCTTAATCACTGAGCCATCTCCCCAGCCCCCAAATAATTAAATCTTAAAGAGAAAAAAAAAATGTTCCTAAGAGGCACTGTAGTATTATGGAAAGACAATTTTGTTAGTGGTAGAACCTTGAGTAGAACCCAGAATGAGCTTAAACCTCCAGTTTTGCTAACTAACCTCTAAGTCAGTGAGAAAGCAGTTGAGGACCAGAGTTGTGCCATAGCTGATGGCACAAGGCCGATACTTATACAATATAGAAAATACCCCCATGGCAAGTGCTTTTATCAACAGTCGGTGATAAAGAATGTGTGAATAAATACAAATATCTACACAGAAAGTAGAGAATAAATGCTATTGTTATATATCAGTGCTGGGGATTGAACCCAGGGCTGCACACCTACTAGGGTTTTACCAGAGTTATATATACTGAGGGGGGTTGGTCTGGTGCTATGTATTCTAATGTTAATTATTTTGCTCCCGAGGTTTGCTGCTGTCTTTTGTGAGCAGATACTCACATACCCAAAATGATGTTTGTAACTTTTGCCTCTCAAACTATCCCTGATTGGATGATAAATTGCTGATACTGAGCTGGACAGGAAAAGGGAGGTGGAATGAGGGGCACAATTTTCATGGGTCGAGAAAGGGACCTCAAGAGAGAGGTGCAAGATAGGAGGAGAATGGATGGATTCCAGAAACTGGGTACTTTGAATGGGAGGAAGATAAACTGGGATAAAGATAAAGATAAAGTGGGATAATAGACTAGTTATTATGCTCAGCTCTGTGCTTAGCTTTGAATCAATCATAGTCTCAATGTATGGTTATTTGGGAAAATTATTAAGGAATAAATGAGGATTTACTAAATATATAACTGAATGTTAATTATTATTATTCATTCAACAACATACCCTTAATCCAAAACTCTTAGTGAAAACACTGCTGAACAAGGCATGACATCAAAAGAGTAAAGTGAGTCTAGGACAAAGCTTCTGTTGAACTCCAGGGAAGAGGAGAGAGCCTGGAGTGGGCTAGTCACTGCCATGTATGGTGGACTATTTGTAAAAATGGCCACAGGTCCTCTTTTCTCTGTAGGCACGTACCTTTTTGGTGTGATTGCATCTCTCCCCATCAAAAACTAGTACGTAGTTCTCCACCCCTTGAAACTTGGTGACATACTTACGCCAGTAGGATATTAGCAACTGTGATGTAGACAGAAGTGAGAAGCAGTTGAGCACCAGAGTTGGGCCATCCCTGACGGCACAGTGCCAATAGTTATACAACGCCTCAGTCAGGGTGCCACTTAGTTCTTGTTCACGCATCTCCCCTGATGGCCTCTTGTGAAGCAGGCACAGTATCTGTAGACTACATCAAGTCTTTCCCCTGCACTGTAGGAAGACGCAGCTGAACAAGCCCTGACCGTAAGCTCACTTGCAGGAGCCTGTGAGGACGGCCATGAGTCCGCAGGAAGCCACTGTGCCCCCTGGCTCTGCAGTTAGCGCCCTGCAGCCCTGCCTGATGTCAGAGGCCCAGCCTGTGTTTCAGCTCTGCTGAGATTTCCTTCTTAGACTGTCAGTCCTCACAGGTGGCACTGAAGTTCAACACGGAGAACAAAGGAGACATCACTGATGGCTGCAGCATCCTGCCAGAATGATGCCCTTAAACCATCACCATCTCCAGTGGCCTGAGATATGAGCTGCCATCTGGAACTCTACAATACACAGCTCTAGGTGTATTTTATTTTAATTATTCTATCTATCTATAAATCTATCTATCTATCTATCTTAGAGACAGGGACTTACTATGTAGCCCTGGCTAGCCTGAAGTTGCTTTGCAGAGCAGGCTGACCTTGAACTCACAAAGATCTATTTGCCTCTGCTGGGATTAAAAGCATGCAACATTATACCCAGCTTTAGGTGTATTTTTAAAAAGGCAAGGAAGGAATTGACAGTTAAAGTCACCTGCAAGAAGTTCATCCAGGAAATAGTTTCTAGTTTTTAGTTAGCTCTTGTTGAGTAGAGGAAGTCCCTCAGACTTAGAGGCTTACACAAGCCTTTTTTATTTTTTTCATTCACATGATTTTTGCAGTGAGTTGGTAGTTCCTGTGGTCTACGCAGCCTCACCAGGACCAGATGATGTAGGGCTACATGACTGTACTGGCTGGTTTTGTGTGTCAACTTGACACAAGGGAGAGTCATCAGAGAGGAGCCGTGGTTGAGGAAATGCATCCATGAGATCCAGCTGTAAGGCATTTTCTCAATCAGTGATCAATGAGGGAGGGCCCAGCCCATAGTGGGTGATGCCAACCCTAGGCTGATGGTCCTGGGTTCTATAAGGAAGCAGACTAAACAAGCCATAGTGAGCAAGCTAGTAAGCAGGACTCCTCCATGGCCTCCGCATCAGCTCCTGCCTCCAGGCTTCTGCCCTGTTTGAGTTCCTGTCCTGACTTCCTTTGATGATGGACAGCAATGTGGAAGTATAAGCTGAACAAACCCTTTTCTCTCCAGCTTGCTTTTGGTAATGGTGTTTCCTTCCAGCAATGGAAGCCCCAGCTAGGCCAATCATCTATCTACAGAGAGCCTCTATAGATATAGAACTCTTTCTGTGAACCTCTCACCCCCTGGGAGCTCAGCCTAGACCATGACATCGTAGTCCAGGCTCCAAGAGTGAGAGAAACAAACCCCAGCTCTCAAAGCTTTCTCTGTTCTGTCTACATTTTGCTAACACAGCACTGGCTTAGGTAAGTCGTCAGGCGTCAAGTGCCAAGCTTTTGGTGGGATAAGATGAGCCATCACAGTGTGGTGGCCGTGTCTTCAGAAATGGCGGAGAACCACTCCAGGCGTATTTATAGCTTCTCACACCTAGCAATGGCTCTTTCCTGTTTCTTCCCTGGAGTCTAACAGAATGTTTGACCTGGGCTCCTCACACTTTCTGAGCTTCCTAGATCTCTTAGATTTTTAACTCCCCACCCTTCACATTCAGTTGCAGTTCATCATGGGTGACACGAGCTGCAAAGAGCTATGGCTCACTCCCATCCTTCCTAGAAAAGCCTCTCTTCCCCAGCCTGATGGCCCATTGCCACCACCTGCTTTATAACACAGTGCAGGCAGGGTGTGCTTCTGCTGTGGGGTTCTCGGTGGCTTGTGGTAGCTGGCAGGAAACTACTTCCTATGCTAAACTGTGTGGTCTTCTTGAAAGCCGGAACCATATCGTCACCATTACAGTTACGACCACCATCTTCAGCAGCAGAAGCTTCACCAACCACCACTATTATTGTAGTCATTACCATCATCATGGCTACCACCATCATTACTGTTCCATCACCATCATCACTTCCACCAGTTCGTGTTATCATCTGTGTTTGGGGGGAGGCAGGGAGTCATGCTGATGTGTATGTGGGAATGCATGTGCCTGTGGAGGTCAGAGGTTGACATCAGGATGTTATCCTCAGTCACCTTCCACCTATGTTTGGAGACGGGGTCTCTGCAGTGAACCTGAAGCTTGCTGTTCAGCGGAGGCTGGCAGGCCAGCAAGATCTACCTGTCTCTGCATCCCTGTGCTGGTGTTACGGATGTGCGCCACCACGCCTGCAGTGCTGGCGACTGGGACTCGGGTCCTCCTGCTTGCATAGGCAGCACCACAAAATGTCAGAGCCACAAAATGTTTCCCCTCCACACCATGTGTGCTCAGTAGTTGTTTACTGAATAAATGAGTGACAACTGTTCACTCTTAAGGAAAAAGAGTTCCATCTTTGGCTCCTGCATTGGGCAAAAAAGAATTAAGAAGACCCACTCCTGGGCTTCTGCTAGCTGCGACACCACCCTTATCCATAATCTGCTAAGCCTTTTAGTCATCGCACTGGATTCTGGGAGGCAGGCATTCATCTTCTGAAAAGCACTAGGCTCACGTGGGTCAGGGAACACAGAACCTCACAGCAGAACAAAGGTTCAAGGCACCTGCTTTTAATATTTTACAAATGGCCAGTGACACAGAACAAACTGTTAAATAACTGGATATTTGAAATAGGCCTGTTTTAGGCTTAGGTTCAACAGAAACCATCAGGGCTGAGAGCACTGAGTAAGGTCCTGGCTGAGGTACCCAGATCCCAAAAAGAATTGTTCTGCAATCTGTTCAAGAGAAGAGGAGACTGAGCAATGGGATTTACTGGTCCATTACTCAGCTGTAAACTCAATTAAAGAGGGGAGATGAGACTGGACAGTGCTTCGGAAGCTCCTCTAATTCCCATTCTTACCAAAGCATGAGGGAGAAAAGAGGATGCTTCTATGTCAAATGACAAGCCTCAGATGTTGGCCCCACTGACAGGGGGTGGCCTGGGCTCGTGTTCAGCATCCTGCTACTCTGAGAAGTCAAGCCAATGGCCCAACTCCAGATTCTGCTGCATGGTAAACCTTCCTGCCCTCTCTCCTTCCCTCCCTAGTCCTGCCCTGGGGAGGACTGAGATAATCTGGGGAAAGGAGGGGCGTTCCAGTGGAAAGAAGGCCTGGCATCCTCATCTCCTCATTGCCAGTTACAGGCTGGGGAGACTAGAAGCCCAGAGTGGATCTAGAAGAGCAGTGGCAGAAACAGTAAGGGCTGGTGTGCCATAGAAAATTCAGTGTACTCTAATGGGCAGAACCAGCTCTGCGACCAGGCTGGGCTTAGAATCACTTACTTCTGGAACAGAAGGAGCTGTAAACAGGGTGTGTCTTGAAAGATCTCCGTGCGGACAGAGCTAAGCGCAGGGGATCCCTGACAATCCAGCTGCTGCAGGTTGGGAGTCATCTTGAAAATGTCTCCCTCCAGTGTCTTCAGCCTGGGCATCTTTCTCAGGTAGAGGGACTTGAGCTTTGGAAGGTTTCTGATCCACCCAGACTCAACTGAAATGAAAGGGAATTAACCTGTATTAGATAACTGCGTATCTATAATGGATAATTGCTATAGTGCAAGGCACAAAACCCCAGGGGACCAGAAGAGCAATAAAGAGAAGAATGATAGGATGAAGTCACTTCCTCAGCTATGCCTGATCATTTCTTACAACCCAAGCATGTTATGGCCATAGAGACCCACTCGGTTAAACACCGGATAGCTCTGATGCCTCCCGAGGGTGGAGAGCCTTCCGCCTTCGGGAACGTAAGAAGGGAGGAAAGGACACGCGGTTGGAGGAAGCCCCAAGAACTCAATTTTGTCGTCTCCCAACATATGGAGAACCTTCCTCTTTCTGAATTTCTTGTTCTCTCTAGCCCCCTGCCGCCCTTCCTCACACACACTGCAGCGAACGAACGACTGATTATAGACACAAGAGGTGCTTTTCGAAGAACAACAAAGCACCTCCCTCCTACATCCTGTTGGAGCGACCCAACATCCATTGAAACAATCGGAGGGTGTGTGTCAATGAATTCCTCCTCAGCACGTTGGGGCGAAGTTTGTTTATTCATCAGTCCCAATGCCAACTTCACCTCGCCATGCCACGGCGTTCATCCGGCCAGAACTCCGTGACTGGGCGGTTGAGCTCTGCCTGTGGCATGCTTGGGCTTGGATCTGGAGACTTCGGTCACGTCAAGCCATCCTTCTGTGCGTTAGTTCCCTCGTATATAATCTGAAGGTGGCCAGCAGTTCTGTGATTGTATGGTATCTCAGGCAGCCGGCTGGGTTCTGGGGCCGCCTCTGAACGCCCTGCACTGCAGCCCTCCCTTCCTTCCTCTCCCCCTTCTCCCGCCCGGGCGCGAGCGTGGCCCTCACCTCGATCGAGGCGCGTGCCGCTCAGGTCCAAGACCTCCAGCGCCGCCAGGGGCCCGCCGCCCTCTCCGGAGAACGCCTGCTGAGCGACGGCGCCCAGCTCGCTGCACGAGAGGTTGAGAAGCTGCAGCGCGGGGAAGCACGCGAAGGCCCGCGGCTGCAGCGCCCGCAGTGGGTTCCCGGCCAGCGCCAGCGAGCGCAGGCTAGGCGCCGAGGCTCCCGCGCAGGGCGGCAGCTCCGCCAGCAGGTTGTGGCTGAGGTCGAGGTCCTGCAGCGCGGTGGGCGCGCCGCGGTCCCAGCGCAGGGCGGAGATGCGGTTGTGGTGCAGCGTGAGCACGCGCAGCTCCGGCAGGCGGCCGAGCTCCGCCGCGCCGAGGGCGCGCAGCAGGTTGTAGCTGCCGTCGAGGCTGCGCAGCGCGCGGGGCAGGCAGCCGGGCAGGCTCTCCAGGCTGCGGTTCGCCAGGCTCAGGGCCGTGGCTCCCGCAGCAGGGAGCCCCTCGCAGGGCGAGTCGGTGGCTCGACGGTCGGGGCTGTCCCACGGTCCCTGCTGAGTGAGTCGGAAGAGCGGCGTCATCTCCCAGGGAATTCCCTCCAGGCTCGGCACCATCAGGAGTAGCAGCAGCGCCCGCCACATGCCGGATCTCTAGGGAAAGACCGCCGACCGCCCATGATTTCAGAGGAAGCCCCGAAAGAGAGAGAGAGAGAGACCCTCACCTCGGATTTGTCAGCAAGCAGGTGGAGACTAGCTTTTTTCTCATCTCTGGTCCGGGACCCACCGCACTTGCTCGACCCTGCTTTGTCAGCGGGAGGCCTCTCTCATCTTTCTGTGCCTGACCCGACTCTTCCAGTCCCGCCTCCTCCCCCATGCTTTCTTGTCTCTCTTCTATGAGTTTTCGAAAGATGGTTGCTTGTTCTCTTTTCCTCTGTAACACCCCTCCCCCCAGCTGTTGCATCCTATTTGTGAGCACCCTTAGACTGAACCTTTGCTGAGATTAAAAATATGGAATTCAAGGAAGATTCACTCATCCCTAGAAACACTCACTGGGCTAATTTTTCTCATTACAGGTACCTAGCCACTTCCTAGTTTGTATAACATAAGTTCTGGGGTCCCTCTCTGGGGAGGAAGCTTGGGGTTGTGTTCAGAAGAAGGAAGCAGCCCAAGACACCTGTAAGACTTGGAAAACCCTCGAATCAAGCATTTCCTGGTCCCATATAGGTTCTAACAGAAGCCAGTACTGGCTGTCAGCCCTCTGCAGGAGAGATGGCCCAGCCCTAGCTGTGCTTCTGCAACAGCTGGGAGAGTAACCCCGTGGCTGGCTTCAAAGCAGGCTCTGAGCATGAAGTCACTGCAGATTCCCGCCCTGGCTCCCTGCGGAACGCCAGACTCTGAACCACCATCAGGGCGCCTAGGAAAGGCCGCCCTCCTGGTGGTGAGAAAGCTGCTGGGAATCCAAGCCAGGCGCGAAAGCATCCCGTGGTGGTAATGGTACTGCACCATACTTACCTGGAAGCTGTGTGGAATGTGGCACCGCTTTAAGGCCCCTCAGTCTTCTGAAGAGTGCAGGAAAAGTGGCTTCCCGGTCAGCTCTGAATGCCGGAGGGAAGAAGCCCCGTTCCCTGCTGCCCCTCCTTCAGCTCCATCCAGGAGGAGCCTGAGATTCTCCGGCCCTGAAGCCCCTCCTCCTCTACCAAAACTTCTGTTGCTTTACCCCACTCTTTCTCTGCTCACTCGGGCCTTCCCTTCCACAGACCTGGCACCCTGAGTCCCAGCCCCACCCCAGTCCTCCCATCCTTGTCTTAGTCTCAAGCTTGAGAAAAAGAGCCAGCGGCAAGGGCTGGTGCTCTACCTCCTTCCGGGATCACCTCTTCCCCTGGGTGATTCCTGTCTCCTGGGATGGCTGGAGGATGGCTAGGAGAGAAAGAAACTGCCTTTCCTGAGGGAGGGGTGGTTTTCCAGAGAGGCTTTCAGGGATCCGTAGGGAAGTGGCCACAGGCCTTCAGAGGAGTCTTCAAGCTGGACCTGGCTCAAACTGCATCCAAGAGTCTCCAAGAAGAGCGATTGCTCTGAGACCCAGTTCAGTAACAACCTGGTGTTTGCTTCTGAAAAGTGAGGAGAATAAATGGAGACCAGAAATGCAGAAAGCACATTCCTGCCCCAAGGCTGAGATGGTGCAATTATCCCAATTATCAAAACCTGCAGCCCCCCAGGGAACGTGCGACACAGCTTTGTCTCCAGCACCTGTTTGGAGAAGACAGTGCTCTTCTCTCACTGAGCTCCTGGACCCTTCCCTGCTTCCCCCAGGCCCACCAGGAAGACCGAGAGCAGGCTGGGCTGTTATCCCCAGTTCTTTGTATAGAGACCCTGGGACCAGAGGCTCCTGTTTTCCTCCCTGTCATTGCTTATCTGGGCAATCTGAGGAGTCCCAGGAACCTTGCAAAGTGGTCTGATGAGATGACTGATGAGCGCCTGGTAGTTCCCTCTGAGGTCATCTTCATGCAGTGCCTCAGTTAAATGTGTTTCAGTGCAGGCCAGCTGGGGCCGTGCTGTCAGAAACATTCCTCCCCTGCCCCAGCCAGGTTAGACCAGGTCTGCTCTGCGCTCTCTGCTGGGGAGCCTGCCAGGAGTCTGGGTCCTGGCCTTAGTGCTAGAAAGACTGGGATTGAGGAGTAGGAGGGAGTAATAGAAGCAGAGGGAAAGATGGGAAAGGGAGGGCAATGGAGGTTGGCTCCCGGGTCCCAGCCGTGAGACCCTTAACCTTTGCTTTGCACAGAGCTGCATAAACATGCCCCACACTTCTCCCAAAATTAAACACGCTCTGTTCACTCTGGCCAGGCCATTGTCTCTCTTGAAGCCAGCAGCAGAGTGCTGAGTTCAGTTGGAGACACCAGATAAGAAGACCCAGAGCCCACTGAAATGTAAGTACCCCGTTCAGATGGAACACAGGGAGGAAGGACATTCATATACCTGGAAGACAGGACCTTGAGGAACCATGTTGAGGCACTGCTCTCTACACTAGGGGGGAAGTGGTAGGGAGAGCCCCTGGGCCCAAGATTATTACCTTGCACTCTCCTGGAGCTCAGACCCTCTTCACCAGCTTCCTGTTGCTTGCTGCCTGCAGTGCCCATGCTGGCCAGAGCTGGCCTGGGCTGAGAGGCTGTTTAAGCAGGGTCCTCTGGGTTGCTCTATGGCTTCAGCATGTAGCTTCCTGGTGCTGTCTAATTGGGCCCCTGTTCTGGGAAAACTGATGTCAGCCCCCATGTAGTTTGTTTAGGGTTCTTTTTTATGGATTGGGTTAGCCTTGGCTTTGCACAGTACTTTCTGCTGTTCATCACTGCCTCCCACTTTACAATTAAGTGCTTTCCGGTGCTGGACCCCAGGTCCATGTGCACTCTCTCACTGAAGCTTCTCCAGGTACTGACTACTACCCCATGATGAGGAGACTGGTCCTCACGGTTACCTTGGTTCTGGAGTGGACGGTGGGTGAGCCCTCTGTGTGTCACTGGTCCCAGGACCAGGAAGTGCGTGTTTTTCCAATACCCACCATTCCCTTTCCCCCATGTGGTGCCTCCTGAACTGTTCTCCAGCGGGGTGTCTTCCCTTTGCTGTTTCCTCAGAAGCAGACCTTTAACTAAGGGCTTGGGTGCATGGAGTTTATTTGGGGGTGATCTGAGGAAGCTCGGGGAGACTGGCACTCACGAGTGCTGCTGTGCACCTAGAGGCTTAGTTGTGTGGGAGGCTGCGTCTGTCAGGGCTGAGGAAGTGTGGTATTCACCCCCAGCTTCTGTACCCCACCGTCCCAGGGTCCTCCTCACTGCTGCAGCTCCCAGACATATCTGCTTTTCTCTGGATGGAGCCACTCCACAGAAGCCAGCTGGCTGTGGGTGGGTGCTTGGGAGCACCTGGGGTGGCTCCTAGTGGGATTGTCCCTTCCTTGCGCACTAAGCACCTTCCTGGGTGTTCCTCCTCAGGTGGTGCTGGCTGTGTGCCACAGGCGATGGGTAGAGTTCCTCCATCTCTAAGACCGAACTTCCTGAGAACTAGCCGTGTGGCTCATCGCACTAGCCCTAGAGTGCAGGGCAGAGTCGGTTACCTGCGGAAGAAGTTTGACAAATGAAATCACGGTGGGAGGGTTAGGGCGAGGGTGGAGAGTGGGGAGTGGGCTGAGGCAGAAATAGGAAACTGAAGAACCATGAGGCTGGACAGCTTGCTGAGTGGTTAAGAGCACTTGCAGGTTAAGGTGCTTGCAGGAAGACCAGGGTTTGGCTCCTAGTGCACACAATGCCTCAGAACTATAATTCCAGTTCCAAGGGATCTGGTACCCTCTTCTGACCTTTTTTGGGGTTTCTGCATGTATAGGTTGCATATACATTCACTTAGGTACACACACACACACACACACACACACACACACACACACACATTAAATAAGTATTTTAAAATAAATGTAAATCCTAAGGGTTTTGTAATCCTGGGTTCCCAACACACTGTAGGGCTTTGCAGTAGGGGATTTCTCCTGGAAGATCTCATGTTAGAATGTTAGAAACACATGGCCCCTGAGGAAACAAACAACCAGTAATTATACTTTTCCGGTTGTGTGTAAAAATTAGGGTCAAAGATCCTCGCTTTTAGAAAGGTCGTGACCATTTGTCTGGCCCTGCCCCCACCCTGTCCATTATGGAGATTGAAAACTGAGTTCCAGAGAGGATCAAAGAGAGGTCACATGGTGGTGAGTTTTTAGTTAGTGAGGAAAAAGGTGACCTCAGTCTCGTAAATCCTTCAGGCCATTTCTTCACAGTCCACCCTGTCTCTCTGGTGTAGGAGTGGGAGCCTGAGATGCATGGATGGTTAAGTAGCTCACTTCTTGAATGCCAAGCATTAGTGAGAACTCTGGGACTTTGGACCTGTGCTGTTCTGTCCCATTCCAGGACTGTTAGAATGTTCACCTCGGATAAATAGGCTGCCCTAGAGATCTTCCATGGGAGTTTTGTCTGGCCGTGCTCACAGCTCTGGCAGCCTGGAGCAGGTTGACAGGCACTGGCCAGGTGACTGCCCAGCCAATAGGTCAGGCTGGCCTTCCAGATGCCAGCTGGCTCTGGTGCAGGCTTCCCCTCCAGTTGCTGGAGTTGGAATGTGCAAGAGTAAAGCTTCATTCTTCTCTGACACTTGAGATAACGGTGAAACGGGAGGGTGATTGTGGGAGGACTCGGTACCTGGCTGTCCCTGGAAAGGGCCGACTCTCGTGAAATGGTATGCAGCACAAAGGCTCAAGAGTTCACGGTGTTCGTGTGAACTCTCACAGCCAGCAGTGAGAAGGTGGTCTTAAGGACTGAGATGGTGACAGCTGAGACACAGGCTTTACCTCTCAGTGTCTGTAAGGCTTCAACATAGGGCTTTGCGGAATGTCTAACATAGGGACTCGTGGGATGTTTAGAATGTGAAAGTGCACCATGTTAAAAAAAATCCATCATTGAAAAGATTCAAACTTAACTGAAGAGGCAGGCATAAGTTTTTCACTTTCTTCTGCGTGTAGATGTAGGAAGTGAGGTGAAACAGGCACAGGCTGTGTTCATAAACTGATTCTGGAGTTCCACACC